ATGTTCATTTTTAAAACTCACAATATTTCCAGTTTTGTCAGTTTTTCTAGTCGATCCTTTCGAATCTCAGTAATTTGATTTCGTTCCAAATACCTGGTTTAAAAATGCAGCATAAATTTTAGAGTTATTTGGGTGTATGATCAAAACAGGCTAGCAAAGATCATAATATAAATTATATCAATAAATATCCTAATAAAATATGCTCACAATTTAACTGTATTAGGAGGCAAATTTTCCGGAATTTCGGCTAGATTTTTGTCCGAGCAATTCACACTACCGTTTTCGCAAGAACAGGTCTCAGGGCATGGAGACTCTGTGTTGTTACAAGCAGGAAGTTTGGCTATAAAAAGCAAGATAAAGCAAGGCAATAGGGAACTAACAATTAGTAAAAATAAAAAAAGAAATTGGGAGCTGTAAATTATTTAGTTTTAACTACCGAAAAGGTAAAGAATCTTCTCTTTTTATTTTTCAAAGTATATTTATTTGCAATTTGAAATGAATAAGTTAAATAATTGACTTTCTAAAGCTTTTGCTATAGAGCCAATTTGGAATTAGAAATCAGTTAGTTAAGATTTCATCAAAATAAGGGCCTCTTTCTCCCTGGCTCTGACGACTTTAAATTGAACATGTCTTATGCGAGGCAAATTAAAGAACATGAACTCACGACAATTAATAACTTCATCTCTTTAGATATGAGTGCCTTTAAGTAAAATATTTAAACCAAAAATGTCTTTTTAATTTGGTAACTCTGGAAAAATCAAACTACATCTATTAGAATGGAAAATTATACTTGTAAAAGGAAAAATGAAGGACAATGCTTATGGCTATATGGTTTGGCAGGCATGAATGTGAAACCTATAAACATAGAAACTCAAAGTAAAGACGAAAAATTTCTTTGCCAAACAATATTATAATGGAGATATTAAATTACAACACATAAGTTGCTATTATCACGAAGGGCATAATTTTATTTGACTAATGACATTGTGAATAGATTACCTATGTCACATGGATAATAATGAATAACTAGTAGAGCAATCCATGAAGTAATCAATTAAATACACTTCATAATAGTGATCGAGCTCGAATAAGCTCGATGAACTTTTACTTCATCGCATTGCAATGCTAGTGCAAATATGCATTCTTTGCAGCTTAAAGATCCTCCAGCTTCTATAGTGGCTTACATGGTATGGTCTAGGCACATCAGATTTAATGAAATGGGGCATTGAGGTTAACACACTTTAATTAACATAAGGTATCTGTTCTTTATATAATTCAACTGGTGTTAAATTCGTTAAGAACATGTTGTCGTTTATACTTAAAATTTGAAGAATGAAGTTGATTTATCTGGGTTTTTATTTGACTTTAAATTAAAACAATAAATAAAAAGACATTAAGGATATTTTCGATCACAGATTTTGTTAAATTTGATATTCCTGTTATGAAGAAAGCTGCGACGAAAACACCGTCCATCTTATTTATTATCCTTTTATTATCCCTAAAGCAATTGGTCTAAATTTCACTATTCTTATAATATATGCTTTAGAGGGAAGACTATAAAAGGAGTATCATGGTTGCCTAAATATATTTATTACCGAGTATATTTATACTCGATAATTAATCAGGCTATACTGTTTATCTGATGAATAGGCCAATCCTACCTATGCCACGAATTTCCCCAGACTATTCCACACTAAGCGACAGACTCTTCAACATATGTTAACTTACGACACTCATTAAGTTCCTAAGAAGCTGCGAAGATAAGAATGTCTGAGCCATAATCATATTTCAGTTTATAAAAGTAATATAATATAAATTGATATATACACTTTGCATAGCAAAAGTGTAGCCACTCGTCCAAATTGTGCTAATAATCCTCAAAGTCTTCTATCTCTATTCTGAACCCCTTTTGATGAGAAATTTGTTGTTTGTAAAAAATACAAATCACAGATATGGTTCTTTTTCAGATAATCAGGCCTAATTTTATAAAGAGAATTTGCATAACTTTTTTATTAAGCCAAAGGTTTGTTGGTTCTTTCTATATTACATTAAAATGGTTGCATCTTATTAACTCCAGTTACATTTAAATGAGATAATGTGCCAGTTTAACCTACGTAAATGCGATGAAACACAGCATTCATTTTCTTCCATATCGTGTACACTCCTTTTATCGGCGTAATTCGTATCCGGAATTATGCATTTCACCTCCAGACCTTCTTGAGTAAAAGCAGCCGTATTTGTTTTACTTTTTAAAGGGTTTCCAGCCATCGATAAAGTGGGTGCCGCAGTCAAAGGCCTTGTCCCGGAGATGCAGGGCATCTGGACCCTAGAAAGACTAGCCAGATGGATTCCAGTTAGAGAAGAGGGACTCGAGCAGACAGGAGCTTCAGGTTCCACGGCCAGCCGACTTGGGTTCTGTCGAAGCCACTCAGACAGCCAGGCTAAGTGGCAGGAACAATGCCAGGGGTTACCTGACAGACTCCTATTAGCAGATTTCGACCATAAAATAAAACGCGTAGATTCAAAAAAAGTTTGATAAAGAGATGAGATTATATTTGGCAAAAAACTTTGGCAATTAGGTATTGTGTAATTATTCTACAAAGTTCTTAAATATTTTTTATCATTGATACTACTTGGATGAATATACATTTGTTTTTAAATATATAAACAAGCATAAAACCCTTCCCTTATACGTCAAGGAATATAGGATAGCAATTTGGAACTTAAAAATTTTGAGCGAAGTATGAAATTACATTTTATAATTAATCTATGCTTTTTGAACTTTTAATCCAAACGTATTTTGCCTTTTCCGGGTATACCATATCTTCATAGACATTTTAAAGAATTATTTAATTTATCATTGCTTTAAATTCAAAATTTTAGCTCTTCTAATATAATTGCGATTTAGAAGGGTGACTTACACAGAGGAGG